CTCTCCCCTGTCCAGCTGAGGAGGGGCGTGACAGAGTGGCTTTGGTGAGGACCTGGCATCCAGCCAGTGTCAAGCCACCACAGAAATGCTTTGAGAAATGAGTAAGTGATAAAAGATAAACACTGAAAACAACACGAGTAGTCACAGCCTGCAATAATAGTATAGCTAATATATTGTTCACAGCCAAGAGATGTGAATAATATCTTATGATATGTCTCTATATATATTACATATGTATAATATACTACAGTAATTCTTGTTGTGAGATGAATCTCACTACAAGAAAGTTACATTTTTGTAACTGACCCAGGTCTCTTGACAGAGGTACAGAAGAGTTGCATCTGGACCATGAATAGGGCCAGCTAAAGCTTGGCCCTTGAGGAGCACATGGCTCTCTGGTGGAGCAGTAGCGGCTGCATTAGCTCTGTGCATGTTGCCTGTTGTCACGCCACAGTATAACGTATCAGCCATAAAAAAGGTTTTACTCTGTCGTCTTCCAAATGTGTTAATCAGCTTTGACATAAGTACAGGTTGCCATATTGTGGTGATCGTCTGCCCTGTTTTTTATCTCAAGCCAAAATGTGGGAAATCTGTCTCAGACTGTGGGAATAGCTGACAGATATGGCCTCTTTGCCACCTTTGTTCCTGATCTGCATTCACAGAATCACAGAATCATTAAGGTTGGAAAAGACCTTTAGGATCATGCAGTAAACAAAACCCTCAGCTTCTCATGAGGAACCATAGGAGGAAGAGGACAGACAAAAAGCAATTAATGCTTAAGATTTTAATTGCGGTGTACCTCTGTCATTGCAAAAAAACTTCAGAACAACTACACAACTAATTTGTGAAATTGTTCAGTCACATTGATAGGCTCCAAACAAGACCATGGTGCTTTCTCTGGACTGATTCTGAATGTTTTGGGTACACAGGCATGATCTTTTGGAGCTTCTGTTGCAGGGGGACTCCTGCTCCATGTCCTGTCTCTCACGCCTCCCATGTATACTTCTACACACTATTGTTTTCAAATCTTGTAACCAGGTGTCCCACCCAGAAGTGGCTTAGAGAGTGTCTGCCCCAGAAGAATCTCCCTCCTTGCCCTCGGAAGAATGTGGTTTAAAAAAAATCTCGGCATGTATTTGGTTTAGATTTCAGCATTACAACAATTAAACAACCACCCCCAGCCGACTCAAGGGTAAAGACAGACAGACTTGGAAGTGAAAAAGTCTTCAAAATGAAAATTAAATTTATTCCAGGAGAGTGAAATAAATTCCAGCCTTGTATGTGCTTTTTCTCCTCCTCTCCTTTTTTCTCTCCTTGAAATTTATCTTGACCTATTTCAGTTTAAACTGTAATCTAAGAACCATTTAAACCTTGACTCTGCACATGCAAGTTCTAAATTGCATATAGAAAACTAGTATTGACCCCTGAGAGGAAACTACTCATTTGATTTAATTTTACTTTTACATTGATTCAGCTTAATTTATTAAGGACTTTAAGTGAAGCTGAATGTATTCCTGGTGAGGCTAAAATTTAAATCAATGAGTTTATGAAGAGGTTTGCACAGGTTTAACTAAGTTTATTTTAAAGTATGTGGAATCAGCCCCAGAGATGATGCTCAGGGCTGTAATCTCAACTATTTGAATGATTGCTAGGTGCTCTATCACAGGGAGAAGCAACGCTAATGCACAGCTTAGCTTTGTAAGTCAAATCAGAACCTTGATGAGCATCACAGGACAAATTCAGTTTGTGCTGTCTAGACAGGACATGGTGTGAGTTTTGAGCACAAGAAATGCAACAAAATAAAAGACTTCTGAAATACTTAAATTTTGAATATGATGGCTCAGATCATGTTGGCAGTGTGGAAAGGTGTGTGGAAAGGTACACTGAAAGGGAAGCAAAGGTGGCTGATGAGATGTGCTTTTGAAAGCAAAGATTCCATCTTGAAAAGAGCCTCAGATTGCAAATCTCATTAACCTTAAATAGAGAAAACACTTCAACATATGAAATAGGGCAGTGTATCTCAGAGGTGGGTGCCTGTCCAGATCAACAGAGGTGGCAGCATTGAATCTAAAATTCTTTTTGTCAGGTACTGCTAATAAGGTAAGGAGATCACACTGATTGAGAGGTAAGTATAGGATCTGGAGCTGACATTCAGACTGGCACTGCATCTTAGTCTGTGATTTTTGGTATTCTTGTATGCACTAGGGGTGAGAAGGACGATAGCCCTTTGGATTCACACATCACTATCTGGAGTTGCACCAGCAGAAACCCTTACTGAATTTACAGTTATTACGAATCAAAAGTATAGTTTTGCACATGTTATCTCACCTGCCAGACTCAAGTTATGTTTGCACAGTGCTGGTTTTAGGTAGCGGTTGTTGTTACACCAGGAGGACGTTACCAGTAGGTACACTGGTATGCCTTTGTCTTTAAGCATAGGCGTGGCTCTGTGGTGTATTGGCTCTGTTTATCACTATAATCCTGAGTGCAATTCTCACCTTGTTATCTGGAATATTTACACTAAGGTACATTAGGGAAGGGTTGCCATCATCTGAAGAGAAGTGAAGGCATGGGAGAAAGCATCTGGTGCACAGCAAGATTGGGAAAGCTCTTAGTGCTCTCGTTGTGAAAACAGGCCATCTCAGCTACCTCTACACAAACACAAGTGGCTTAGGAGAAAGGAGGAATTAGAAAGTCATGCACAGTTGCAGACCTATGACCCTGTTGGACATGGTGAGATAGCTCACACGACCAGAAAGAGAGGCTGGGAAGGTGAGGAGATGGGGTTGTGCTGCTTGCGAAGGAGTGCCTGGAGCTTTGCCTTGGGTTGGGTGGTGAGCCAGTTGGGAGCTAATGGGTAAGGATCAAAGGATAGACCAACATGGATGACACTGGAAAGATTTTAGTTTCAAGTGAAACAATAAGCAGCAGGAAGAGAGTGCTGACTTTTAGCAATTTAGACCTGGCCAAGTCTAAATGGAGTTTCATGGGACTGCAAAGGGACAGTGGTCTTACTACCTGCAGGACTTTGGAATTTGACAAGGTGAAACACAGGGAGAAAAGAGGGCAAGAGGACATCAGAAGAAACCTTCCAAAGAAACAACAGACAGATTCGTAGCATAAAGTGTGTGTTCGTTACCTGTCAGCTCTTAAGCAGGTCTGCACTTCTCCGTATCAGATTCAGAGCCCTAGCAGCCCAACTTAGAACACAAAAAGTACCAAAAGAACCTTAAAATCTTAAGCAGCTGAAAGATATCCTGCAGACTGTGCACATGCTGTTAGCCTACTGTAGTCTTTCTTTGTGATCTCAGAAAGTTAATACAATTTCTTTGTGCCTCTTGGCCAAGTGTAAAATGAGAATGACCAACACATTCCTATGTGCCAAGCAGGGTGTGGTGTGGGACAGTTGATTAGACTGTGCTTGTAAAAGACTGAAATTAGGATCAATGTGTTATATTGCAAAACAGAGGCTTCGTTTCACATTCACCCTGTGCTGACTTTGTTTCTCTGAGAGCAGCAGTTCCTAACTGTAACCTTGGCTTACAGTGTCATGAGCAGGGAGTCTCTCACCATATATCTGAATGATAGACTTCTCTAAGGCAGTTCTAATAAACTGCAACTAGTAATAATTCTTTACTTGTGCAGATGGATGGAGTACAAATATGTGGACCATCGGGGGAATCCATAGGAAAGCTGTAAGAGCAATCGGCAAACATGACCCCATTGAAAAGCTGAAAGAGCTGGAGATGCCTGGTGAAGGGAAGATGAGAGGTGAAGCATGTATTTTGAAATGCAGGAACAGTTATTGTGGACAGGAGGAAAAGATGCTCTTTTCTGTGTTTCTGGTGGGTAGGACAAGAGTTAATGTGATTAATGCTTAAACTGCAGCATAGGAATAGATTTGACAGGAAGAAACATGGTGCACCTTCTTCTACCTACACAATTACTTGTGGTAGAGTGATTGTGTGTTGAGAATCGGGGTTTCTGTATTCACTCTCAGGCTCTTACAGGGGATTGTGATTCCGTGGCTGCAGCCCTGTGGTGCTTGATACCGACCCTTCAGGTCTTGGACAGGTGTGCTCTATTGTAGTGATTCTTGTCCCACCTTCGCATGAACTGACCTTCTTGGGGTTTTATCAAATCAGATTTGACTCTGTGCACTAGTACAAAGGATGAGACTTTGCTCAGTAGTGAGAAAGACACAGATATATAAATACCTGCATAAAAGCAGCTCAAATTCAGTTCTTCTGGTAGATTATAAGCCACCTGAATTATCTCAGCCTTAGGCAGTACAAACCGCATGGTTTCACCAGCACGCGTTCTGTGAAACATAGGTCCGTGGATGGTGAGCAGAGCAATGGCTGTTCTCTCAGGTGTTTAAAATAAAACTATGTAACTCCAACCCTCCAGTGCCGGACTGCTGAATTTAGCGTGCAGGGCATATTTTTGTGTCTCTGTTTTTGTGAATTCCCTCGTGGACTCTTTTCCTCCGCAGAATCCCATGCTGGGAGGATTTATGGCCACCCTGGCTATCAAAATAGATATTATTTCATATCTGTTCCTTATAAACTCTACCTGGGTTGAGTGTATTCAGCAGCTGGATTTGGCAGCTTGGGAGGTCTCCCAACCAAAAATTCAGGATAGGGCAGGGTTTGATGTCTGGTGTTGGTAGATGAAGAACATGGAGCTCAGCACGTCTCTCCAGCTGTTTATGTCTTTCCAGCTGTTTATGCTCCTGAGCTCTATTAACCTTTTTGCCCTGAATATTTTCTTCTGGAAAACCCAGCTCCCCTGTTTTGCACTGGACCAGTTTTTCTCTGGCCAAAGCCTTGGTCCTGGGAGGGCAGAGCGTTGTTCTCCTTGAAGGCGGCATCAGTATCTCGCTGCTTGGCAGGGTTGCCGTCACCGCGTGAGGGTTTGTTCTGGCCTGAATTCTGCTTTTCTGATTCAGCGACCCTGAAGCCCTCAGCTGCACAGTGTTTTGATGAACTGTGTTTGGCCTTCCTTTTTCTGGGCTATCCTTTCATACTTTACATTTCTCTTACTACTGGCTCTAAAAATGTGATATGTGTATTTAAGAAGTAGAGTTGTTTGTTACTTAAGTTACTAGTAAGTGGCAAAGCTCTGGTTCCTTGATCACTCTGGTACCAACAAAGTAAAAATCATTAAAAATCATTGCTATAACGTTCCTTACAGATCATTTGAGTTAAATATGATGTGACTAGCAAGTATGGTGCTTCAGATGATTCATGTTTCCTTTCTGGCACCAACTGTGAAAATGCTGTAAGTTTTTTTGATTGAAAAAAAATGTCGTTGTTAAATACAATGGCTGCTTTTTAAAAGCAACTACTCGATAATATTGAGAATGATTTCAATTAAAAACAAAGCTAGGGTATTACTTATTTAAAAAAAAAAGGCAGTGAAAATTACCTGAATAAGTATAAATCAGGTGACCTGCATTTGATCTCTGACAGAATAGTTCTTTTTTTGTTTGTTTTTGGTTGGAGAGTCAGTTGTAGGAAAGATGCTATAATACAGCTAATATCAGCCTGTCTAGTAGTGTGGAAACAGGTCTTGTCAAGCAGACTTCATATTTTGGGATAAGGTTGGAGGTCCAGTTGATGAAAGTCACTGTTGTATTTTTAAACTACTATAATATGTTTGATTTTTACAGTCAGTACATCTTATTTAATTAATGAGATTACTACTAAGAACAAATAGAGGCCTTATAAAATAGATTATATTAGACAGTAATCTCAAGCTCTTTTGGAGAGGTATCGAACAGGCGCTCAGCAGGTATGTACTAATAGATCAGTAGTATTCCATAACCTTTCCGTCACAGTATTTATTAGCACCAACTTTAAATTAGTTTCTTTGATAAAGGATCCAGGAAGTATGCTGGAGACAGAAGGTATCTTGTTTACCCTGAGGAATCTAGACGGCTTGTTGAACTGGCGCAGGCAAGCGTGCATTTTAAGGTGACCAAATCTGTGGTTTGTACATCTGAGAAAAAAAACCCAGGTCCTAGTTACTGCATGGGGGATTGTATCCTTAAAAGATGTAGTTTGAAGAAAAGAAAAAGTCATGGAAAGTCTGATGAGTAACAAGCTAAATGAGACCATTGTGTGATGCTGTGGTAAAAGGGATAACTCGGTGGTAATGAAAAAGCCAGTCAGCATGGTTTCCTGGAAAATAGGTCTCTCCAGATAAACATAATGTTGTTTCATGTCCGAGTTTACTTGAGCGGTGTCTATAAATATGTACAAGAAGAGAAGATTTCTTATACCAGAGGGGTTTTTATTTCATAGGCAAAGATTTAACAAGATTTGCTGCCTGGAAGACAAAACAAGCCTGATCAAACTAGGAAAAAAAAAAAAAAAGAGGTTACTGTCACCACTTGAAGGCTTTACGTGAGATATCTCAGTGAGATTTGCTAATTTTGTGTAACCTCAGAAGAAACGGGTAAAAATTATTTCGTCTGTCCTGTGCAGGTGGTCATAGCAGCTTTGACTTGCAGTGACTCCTTCCCACTTCAAAAATCATCCGATTTTGCAATTCCAAGGTGAACTGTGTGTTGCGTGGTGTTGGAATCCCTCAGTCCTACAAATAGCTGGGGCTTGGTGCAGCCTGGGGTAGCTTTATTTTCTGTGGACCTGGCATGATGGAGAAAGGAGACTTGACTCTGTGGTGCCAGCTCTGTAAATGTCTCCAGCTTTGGGCAGAATCTGGCATTGCTGGAGGGGCCCGTTAGGCAGATGGTCCGGCCCCAGCGAGCTGTGGGGAAGGCATGCATTTACAAGCGTGGAGTTCAGTGTCCTGCTGGGATAGATGGTCATTGACCTTTCAAGTTCCCGACAATATTCACAATAAGCTCCGAGTTTGTATAGTGGTCACATTTGCAGAATCCATTTGTTTTTTAGAAGTATATTTTATTTTTCTGTAATGTATGTAAAACTTGGCGTTGAGTCTGAGTTTGGTAAACGATCTCATGACATATAGAGCCCTGTGTACGTACCATTTTGATCAGAAGGGGCAATGAATAGGTGTTTTTAAATGTGACTGGAAAGTATGTTCTAGATACACTAGGAAACAATCCTAAAATATAATAAATGTCACTCTTAAGATGCAAACGGTTGTGTCGCTTCAGGCTACATTGATTTTCACTCTCACTGTTGATCTGTTGCAGGCTCTTTTTCTTGGGAGAAAAAAAAAAGATGCTTTTATTTATTCCCTCACCTATTTTGTCCTTTTCTTTCCCTCCTAGTTACCCAGTGGGAGACTCTTCCATGCTGCAGCTGTTATTTCAGATGCTATGTACATCTTTGGCGGCACCGTGGACAATAACATTAGAAGTGGAGAAATGTACAGGTTCCAGGTAATTCACTGGTAAACATACTCCAACATCCATACCAATTCTGCATTAATCCTTCTGGCTCTGCCTCCAGAGGTGGCAGAGTTTCTGGTTTGGCTCACTCTGAGCTTGATGGCTTTTGTTTCACATCCTTCCTGCAGGAAGGTTTTACATTTCAGATTCAGCTGCCAAAGACGATTGTGTATCTTTAAAATCTTTCAAGATATGTTATCTGGACATATGGTTTGCTAAGGCCAAGCTCTCTCCAGAGGTTATGACAATTTATTGTGACAAACTATTGAAAAGTGTATCAGACAGGATTTGCCAGGATGTTTAACTGAAAATGGACAGTTTCTCATCATGTACTGTCAGGCTTAGGGTCAGAGCATTTTGTACTGAAGTTTTATCTTCATGCAGCACTCCCACTCCCCCCCAGTAACTATGGGAATTTTAAATTTTAAATTTCAAGATACTTACACCAGGGCAAATACCCCCTACACTCAAGTTTATTTTTATTACCACAGATAAGTTATGAGAGCAGGTGAGACTCCTAGCCCCCAAATCCTGAAATCTGCAAGTTGTGATGAGACACAATTCTTCTGTGTTCCCATGTGTTATCTTTCATTACCGTCACCGTAGAGTAAGCCTTTGCATATGTTTGGTTTGCTTGTTATTTTCTACTTTATATACTACATTGAGGTGAAGTTAATAAGCAAATCCAGTGATAGTATATGTAACTACAGTTGCAGCCATTTGAAACAAACTCTGTCTTCTGTGGGGTTTTATTTTTTTAGTTTTCTTGTTACCCTAAATGCACTCTACATGAAGATTATGGAAGGCTATGGGAAAACAGGCAGTTCAGTGACTTGGAGTTTGTTTTGGGAGAGGTGAGTAAAATTTATTGAAAAGGTGCCAATGGGGGTGCTACTGCATGTGTAGCAAGTTTGCTGGGAAAAAGCAAATTGTACGATGATTGTGCCAGAAACCCTGGGAATGAAGTTTTAAGAGCAGCGTCACTGGTGAAAATTATGTCTGTCTGGTTTAGTAAGTTACACTAATCCAGATAAATTTATAAAGTTCAAATCACTGAGACATAACCGGAATTTATCAGAACACATTATATATAGTTGCAATATGAAAATGATACTACTGACCTGTACCCTGAGGTTACAACTGTCTCCTGGAAAGAGCAGGTCAGTGGTTTGCAGATCCAGGTATCATTTCAGGAGCCATTTTTAATTACTGAAATAAAATAGAATGAGAAAAAGCAGCACAGGGAAATAATTCTCTAGTAATGAAAACAATTATAAAATTTTAAAAAGAACATGTTTTATGAAGAAAAACATGAGATCTTAATTTGAACTTGCCTGCAGTCCTTTTGCAAAAAAAAAGTTATAAAACACTTTGCACAGATCAGATAACAGATCCTCAGCATCAGATAAAGTAATTATGAAGAACAATAGCAAACAAACATACTGTTGCTTCAAAAACAGAAAATTAGACCAAAAAGGTGTAACAATGAGAAGCAAAATCTGTGATGCTGAACCTACCCTACAGCTTCAACTCAGTGAACATTAACAAAGGCTCTTTCCAAATGGTGTTTGCCATTAGCCTTTAGGGAGGATAGGTGTTGAATTTCATCTGTATGTGCAGAGCAGATGCAAGGTTGCCTTTGATTCTAACTTAAACTAAATGTATAGTAACCCGGAGTTCAGTCCAGGTTTCTATGGCTTCTGCCATCTGCCACCATGTGATTTGGGAATAAAAGTTTAATATATGTTATTCCTTTGCTTTTGACAGAAGGAAGAACGAGTTCGAGGGCACACTGCAATCGTTACAGCTCGCTGCAAGTGGCTGAAAAAGAAAATCATACAGGCAAGGGAGAGGTTGAAACAGGTGAATATTTTAGAACAGTAATCTTGTGGCAAGGTAATGCTTACTCTACCCAATTTTGGAAATCAGGTTGTTAGAAAAAAGATAATATCTGCTGAGACAGATATAGGGCCAGAGCACTGTCTGATGCTCAGGTGCTCTTGGGCACATAAAATAAAGAGGGTAATCAGTATTAACGCAGGCTACTGGATGTGTATCAGGCCAGGTGAGGAGCGTAACATGGCGGAGCCGAAGTTAATCCAGTTACCTGGATTTGGTGGTATGGTTCTTGGGAGGTCTCCTAGCTGTCTAAGTTCTAATCTTGTGGAATATCCACGAGGAGGTATGCGTACCCCTCCCTCTGGGGACAGTAAAAGCTGCATGTCATCGGGGATGGCCTGCACCATAAGACCGATTAGAGGGCAGGCAGTGTTAAGGTTTTGAAGCTGGCTCTGTTCCCTTTACCTTAGTATTTCCTGATTTTTTTTTCCAGAGTTGAAGGTCTGGTGCCTATGTTTCATTGTCTATTAATTTTAACTACTTACAGTTTTTCAGCAGCAAACATTTTATTGCTCTTGAGGAAGTGGTAGCACACAACCTGCAGTAAGACACATGGATGCCTCATTGCCCCTTAGTTAATTGCTTTGCCATGCCACAGCCCTCCATCTTCACTGGAAAAGGCTGTAAGGAAAGGCTGTAAAAATGAAACTTGAAAGTAATGAAGTGGCTTAAAATACTTCTGTGCAGCACTTTGAGCTCTGACTTTGCAAGGCAGGGGTCTATGGAACCTGCTCCTACATCTTCCTTTTCCAAGA